GGAAACAAACCTATAACCCGGTCTCCCAATTAGCATCATGAGACCGATAAAATAGAAAACCTATCAAGATCAAAACTTTGCCTTGCGCATAGTCCACTTGAGCTAGATGATGACGATCTTGACTTCCTCAAGTTGGACCATCTTTCTTAATAGCGTACACTCGATGAAGACTACTAGATTGCTCCCCCATTCTCCACTATGGGTGAGCCTCTCTTAGGCACATCTTCACATGTCCGTTATCACGAGAATGGACGACAAGCTTCAAGCTCGACCTCTTCATGATGCTCCACTTGAACTTGCACAACGCAACCTTGATGATGATCACCACTTGATGTCATCCTTCATGGGCTATATGATATCTTCCTTCCGATATCAACCTTGTTGATGACACCGCAACCTTTCCCGTCCAAAGCACGAAAAAGACCAAACTAGGTCACAATTGGCATTTTATTCAAATATTAGGTATGATAATATATTTATTTTAAATACACAGGAAGTGATTGAGCTAAATACTAGGAAATAATATTTGGGCTAGGCCGATCCTGGCTCAACTTGGGATTTTCATACGTGCATTGTTGAGCCCGACCCGGGGTATGATCAGATTATAGCTGGCCAAATGGGCCGATTTTTAGGCCGGCCCGTGAGCATGCCGCCACGGCACGGGCTAAACGGGCTGGGCCTGGCACGCGGCATGCCCTGGGCCTGGAGGCTGGGCACGCGAGCCGGCACGGCACGGCCCGATTAAGTTTATTTTTTTTTTTATACATATATATGGCCTAACATGTAAAAATAGGCTAAAAAACGTTCAGTGCGTCAAATAATAGACTGAAAATATGTAGCCCACCATACTAAACGGGCCAACGTGCCGGCCTGTTTACTAACTGGGCCGTGCCTGGGCCTGGGGGCGCAGCATGCGGGCCGGCACGACACGGCCCGTATAGTAATCGTGCCCTGGCGAGCTGTGCTGGGCCAGGCACGATTACAATGGGCCGGGCCGGGCCGTGCCGGCCCGTTTGGCCAGGTATAGATCAGATCAAGGTCCACCTAAAGCCCAGCCCAAAGGAAGGGGAAAAGGTCCAACTTCCTGCCAACTCATTTTATATTCCCCTAAAAACACTCATTTTATTGGTCACCGCCGGCGACAAATCCCGCGCGGCGCCGGCGGCCGGCTCGCACGGCCTCCAACCCATGGCGCACGACCTCCCCCCACCATCAGCTAGCACTTGCGCGCTTGCATGGCCGGCCCTCCTCCCTGCCAGCTCAGCCCCCTACGCCGGGCCCGACGTTCCCGCCGCCGACTGGCCGCTGACA